ATACGGCGTGTGGTGACTTGGTGAACAATGATATGTAAATAAGTTCAAATAGATTTATTTAGTTACCTATTACGATTACAAGAATCTTGCCCAACAAAATTGTAATTAAAATAAATAAAATAAAAATAAAAAAACCTATTTTTGCGAATCAGTTGAAATAGATGAAATTGCAACAAAAATAAAAAATGTATCACATAAACTCTAAAGTTGCGACCAAAAGGTTTGTGTATATTGCTATATCTTAATTTGTATTATTACAATTTTAATCGTACAGTTACCTGAATATTAGTAATTAAAGTTTTATCTCATAGTGTATGCAAATAAAATGCATTAATTTAAATCCTTATGTATTATTGTTGTAATAACAACATAATAAAAATTAACATCATTAGATTAGTTTTTGCAAGTAGTTAGAATAAACATCCATTTTTACACATTATAAAATAAAAAAAGATTCATTTGCATTTTAGGAATTCACGAAAATAGATCTTCAGTCAACTTAATACCTAGGTAACAATAGGTAATAATTTGTTTTTTTAAAAATGGAAAAGTGAAGCAAAATAATCAATCCTTGCATTGACTTACAATTATATGGACGTCGGGTCCGCGCTAAAAAGTGTCCGCACTTGTAAGGCGCTAAAATCGTATACAGAGCGCAACACTCCGCTTTAGTCTTCATTTGTTCTACTGACATGACAGCGCGATACTGCGATGACATTACAATTTAAATTTCGAATAGGTTGACTTGGGACATTTTTTCGTGGTTTTTGTATTAGACCCGTCGTCCATTTATTTGTAAGTCAATGAATCCTTCTTAATTTGTTTTAAACTGACATAAAAACGCTTATTGACTGTCATTCAAAATAATAAAGTAAATTAAACTATTTTCTAAAATTCAAAACGTGAACTGTCCAAAGTCTCAGATACAAAAGAATCTTTCGAAAAACAATCGTCAGAAACTTTCATTTTTTAAGTTAGGTCATTAAACGTCTCTAAAAATAATCAAGTAAACAAAACTGTAAAAATAACCAAAGTTTTCGGAAACAAAAAATTCTGTAATAATTATCACAATAATAATCTTCATCCAGATCAGAATCTATAGTAGCAGGTAGGTACAGTCAAGAGCACGTCAAGCTTTACTCTTTGTACTTTGGACCGTCCTTATTGTAAGCGGCATAGAGTTGGATTTAAGTCTAAAGTGTTAAGCTTGACGTGCTCTTGACCATGTACGCAGCAGTAGTCGAGGCCAAATTATGATAGAATTCATGGAGGCACGGATCATTAAAATTCAGAAGAGAGATAAGATCTTCCTTTTGTTTCTGCTGCTATAAGCAAGGGTCCAACGTAACATTTGTTTACATTTTCTATCCGAATGTGGTTATACTTTTTGTTTCTTTTCGCATACGACATGGAAACGTAGTTAACATTATTCTAACTTTCTTTGCATTCGAATGTAAGGAATTCCATTGAGAAGAAAATGTGTTGTTTGCTGATGGTGATACAAATTCTCAATTAAAACTCATTATAGAAAATAAATTTTTAGTTCCTGGACATACACACATCTGATTCATGACATTCTGATCACGCACTGATAGAACGCGCTATAATGCGAACGTCTATGGCTGCTAACAGATTGACTGCATGTTTACTGTTAATGCGTGAAGTCTTAATCATCTTCATGCAACCAAGACCTCCGTAAAATGCGAACGTGTATGAGTATTACCATCCAAGAGATTGGTATCAATTGGTACGAAGTGCATCTTAACAGTGCATTATATTTTATCTGTAACAGTAAAAACAATATTTCTTTTATGGGAAATGATTGATGGTGACTTTTGCAATTTCTCTGAATTTTCTAAAAAGCAGTTGCAGGTAAAGATCAATTCCCTGCATTCGAATACAAAAATTACAATAATATTAACGACGTTCCCATGTACAAAAAGTACGACCACATTCGAATAGTAAAAGTAAACAAATGTTACATTGGACCCTTGCCTATAGCAGCAGAAAAAAGAAAGATATAGATTCTCATACTATGGATTCTGATCCTATAGCGGAGAAAGATTATTATTATGATAATTTTTTGTTTCCGAACACTGGCTATTTTTAGAGTTTTGTTTACTTTATTATTTTTAAAGACGGCTGGTGATCGTTCATAACAGTCAATAAAAAAAATTCAAGTTTTTGACGATTGTTTTTCGAAAGAATCATTTGGTCCTGAAAATCTGGACAATTTATTACGTTTTGAAATTTCGAAAATAGTTTTATTTGGTTTATTATTTTTAATAACAGTCAATAAGCGTTTTTATGTCAATTTAAAACAAATCAAGAAGGATTTATTACTTTACTTCACAATTCTATTTATTGTTTAAAAATTATTTTGCTTAGTATATTGTATTTCAATAAGTATCGTTGCCAGTGACGATATATTTGTTATTTAATTTTATTGTAGATCTAGCACTTACACATGTAAGATCGACACCTATTTATATGTATTTACAACCGTCTTTCTCTTTCAAATTTATCTATCTATAAAGAGATAGACTGATTAAAATGATGAATTATATCACTTTATAATTTTGATATAAATAAATTACAAATAGACAAAAACTTCGAACACTTTTGATACAAGTTAAATTGTATAAAATATGAAATCTTTCATTTCAAAAGAAGGTTCGTGTAAATTAATACATCATTTATTGTATTAGTACCATTGACTTACAATTATATGGACGTCGGGTCCGCACTAAAAAGTGTTCGAACTTATAGGGCGTTAAAGTCGTATACAGAGCGTCATTCACGCTTTAGTCTTCCTTTGTTCGACTGACAGCGAAGCAAGTAAAATTAGACAGTACTGCGATGACATTACAATTTAAATTCAACGTTTCAGCTTTTTCATATTCCTTTACATGTCACTACGTTTAAATGGGTTGACTTGGGACATTTTTTTCATGGTTTTTGTATTAGACCCGTCGTCCATTTATTTGTAAGTCAATGATTAGTACACACAAACATCTTTGCATTGTGTCCGATTTTTGCAATGATATTTAAAGAGTTGTAGTTTTAATCACAAGCTGATTTATTTTAATTTGGTCGTGTATAATGATATAACCATAATACAATCATCATTCACAATCGCAAATTAAATTATCTTCGGGTCTAGAGCACATTGAGTAGTGGTGATCAGATAGAAAGATGCAAACGAATATTGATACAAGAATTGATCTCAAAGCGGTTTTTACCTATGTTTGATGAAGACCTGTTCATCCGTATAAAGATCATCAACTATTTTTAACCGACTTCAAAAAGGGAGGAGGTTCTCAATTCGACTGTATGTTTTTTTATTTGTATGTATTTTACGCGATAACTCCGGTATTTGTGAACTGATTTTCATGGTTCTTTTTTTGTTGGAAAGAGGGTACCTCCATAGTGGTCCATTTAATTTTGAAGAAAATCCACTCATAAGGGTGGCTGTTCACGCATGAAGATTTATTTTTATAAATAGCGCCAAAATTTTATTATAAGGCGCAATTATTTTAATCATTGATTTTGCTATTCTCCAATTCAAGGCGTTTTTCTCTCACAATATATATTGAGTAGTGAGAACCGATTTTTATTATCTCCTGTGTCAAGTCCCGTATAGTGGCGGGATCTAAGGGATGAATCCGAGTTTACGCACTTTCCGGTAATTGATTTCAATAAAACTTGGTAATTATATGTATTTCCATGTACTTTTGAGGTCGGTTTTTTAGTACTCTATACGGAGATTATTCCAGTTAGTGTTTAAGTTTTTTGTATAGAATCGTAACCGACAAACAATCTGTGATGGTCCAGAAAAGTTTACTATTCTCCACGCTGCTTTAAGACATGATACTGAGAAAGCATTCTTAAGAATGCTGATGCAGATGCAGATCTTTGTTTGTTGTTGTTTGAATAAGATCTGAGTCTTTGATTGCGCCCACTCTCCCTAGCCGACTTTCAAATGTACCATGTATATCTCTGTGTATAAATGATACGCAATCGGAATAGACTATATATATATACGTCGACTTGAAGTACTAAAGTACCGGCACGTTATTATGGCCGTATTCACGTTTGTCCGTTCATCACGTTTCGTATTAATTCATAACTACGTTGAAGGAGCTAATTGATGTACATGGTTGTCAGTAGCGATGAGCAGTAAAATTTAAGGATGTATAATTTTACAACTCAACTCGGCATTTGTTTTTCGAAATTCGAAGTTTTTTAAAATGAAATCTAATACGATCGTCACTTTAGGATCGCTGTCCAGCACAACTTCTACCTACGGCAAACTCGCGTCAAAGCTCAATGCAAAACAAAGCGTTTCGAATTGACGATTTATATTAAGTAAACATTTTTATTTTCGTTTTATTAAAACTTTTTAATCAGCTACCCCTTGCAATACTAGTTATGGCTCTAAAACTTATAGATGCGACTCGTATTTGATTATATTTTTTTCGATAATGAATTGAGTTTTGACCTCATTAATTTTAATCTTTCAAAACGGCCATCATAGCGTGCTGGTACTGTAATGCCTACTAATGCTAAATAATGCCTTTACGAATTTCGAGTTGCATTATACTAACGTTATATATGATGGGCATAAGCGCGATGAAATAATTCAATAGATATTTGGACGTCAACCTATTATCCCTACGTTTCGATTAGGTTCCATTGGTTGCGGTCACGGGTTACTTAGGCATTAAATTGTTTCATCACGTTTATCCCCGTTTTGTGGTTTGTAATGTTGTAGGAGATAATGACGCAGTTAACGCCAAGTATGGCGGCGGAAATAGATATAGTGGCAGTACTTCCCTGGACGTACTCTTTTACAAGGAGCTCTAAACCTGACCGGTTATACATGCACCCTGAAATATTGAAACTAATAGCAACAGAATATGTGTTAGGTCAAATATTCAACCAATTGTCGACGATCCAAATTTAATTTGATTATCTTTTAAATATCAATGATGACTTACCAACGAGAAGTATGGAGAGCAGCGTCACCGCATCAGGGTCCTCTCCGTCATCGTACTCCACCGCTGCCGTCTCATTCATCAGCGCCACCTAACAGTCATTAAATTGAATCATTGTTGAAGACATGGAGTTATCTTAAGCTCTACTACCTTAAGTAAAAAAATATTTAGACATAACATCAGAGGTTTATCGTTTCACTCGAAAGTCATCTTGATAATCAGAGACAAATATCAATTCCTGTACATGTCAAAATCCATTTACTACGTTTGAATGCCAAAAGTCCTTTTCTTCCATTGTATAAAGAAGAGGCTCCCAAACTTTTTTATCTGGTAAAAACCACGTGCTAATTCATCGGTTTTGATGCCTTTCTAATATTGACTCTTTTACAAATTCATCAATTTCGAATGTGTATTGGATAGCTGATACAGTGCTAGTGATAAATTTTGTAAAAAAATTATGTTAAGTTTATTATATTAAATATTTGCATTTACCTTACTGAATATAGAGTACAATAAGTCAAGCATGGTTACTCTAAACAAACGTAACTGCGCGGCGTGCATGTGTGCGGGTCCGCCGCGGGCCGTGTATAGACGCACACATTTGCATTACATCGCAATGCACTCGCGTTGCTAATGCGAATATTTGCGTCCATAGTGCGCAGCGGTCACGCACACACAGAAGTCGCGTAGTTACTTTTGAAGGGAGTTACCATATTTCTCTTATTTTACCACGCGGAATATCTTGATTGTTATGAAATATTTAAGTACTACATAAGCAATTTATGGCTATTATAAGAAACTATTATGTATTCATATACGCACTAATCTGCATGACGTAGTTTATTCCATTTATGGAAAGCTAAAATTTTGGCCACGGTCTGCCTAAAAGGGTTACATTCTCGTGGACGACCGTTTTGTGCACCCCTGTTTATTTTAGTGATATGGAGCTCTCGTAGGTTGAAATAGGCCCCATTGGAGTCAATATAGACCACTTTAAGAAACATCGGCATAGCCTCCTAAGACCCAGCAAATTACAATGGGAAAAGCTAAACGCCCAATCTACTAAATATATAGATACGCAAAGTTTCATCATAATGCAAGTGACAATTAATTAACTCAACTGCAAAAAGTAGCTTTTACTATATACCGGTAAAGGTTTCGATTGCGGTAACAGAAAAAAAAACATTCTATCGTCTTGCATTTTGTGTTCAATTCTCCACTCACTGAAGTACTTCTACCGGCTGCTTTTTTCGATACTTTACATCATCATCAACCCATTTATACATCTCACTGCTGAGCACGGTTCTCCTCTCAGGCCATGCTCGCCCAAAAAGTAGGTTGGGGACTTCACATGTTTTCCCAGGATGATGAACCTTCTTCGGCAAGTTTCATCACGATGTTTTCCTCCATCGAAAAACTCATGGTAAATTCCAAATTAAATTTCGTACAAAAATTTCGAGGAACTTAGAGAACTTAGTCTGGATTTGAACCCACGGCCTCTGCTTGAGAGGCGGTAGGTCAAACCATTGTGCTAGTAGGAGTTTCAATTTTTTTCGATATCTATTTATGAGTAATAAATCAATCAACCAGGTACTGTTAAAATAATATCCATAAGTATAAATAACAGTGTGTTTGATACAAAACATAGGTAATTGAGTCAGTGAACAGTCAAAACTAACATAACATCTGGCAAACGTAAGCTCATTCAGTTCAATTTAGCAGGTGTTCGCCAAAGTGTGCTTTCAGCAGATTAGCTACCGAATCCGGCTGTACTAACAGTGTAAGTAAATAAACCGAGACCGACAATACGTTAGATGTAATGTGTTTTGTCGACTCTTTTCTAAAGAGAAAGGAAAGCATTTCACAAGTTTGATGTACTACAGTGTTATAGTTTAGTGTTATATATACCTGTTGGAAATGAAACTACTTTTCTATCTAAAACGTGTATTAGTGATTGATGATATCGACATGAGAATATGGGCCTCGTGAGCAGGTTCAAGGTCACTCAAAGGGCAATGTAGAGGGCTACGCTCGGAGTGTCACTGCGAGATCGAATCAGAAATGAGAAAAAGAACCAAAGCAAACGATATGGCCCAAACAATTGCAAAACTTAAGTGGTCGGGACACATTGCTCGCAGAACAAGATAGCCAATGGGCCAAAGAGTTTTCGAGTGGCAACCGCGTACCAATAGACGCAGCGTGGAAAGACCTCCCAAATTTGTGGGAATCCGCTAGATGCAAATGTAAGATCGATCTGTGTGGCGATCTTTTCGGGAGTTTCAAAAGTGAGTGTCTTTCCACTGAAATTATGATAATGATGATTTTACTATCTGAGTCAACCGTGACTAAGAGTCCTGTAAAGGGCTCGAAACCTAGGTTTGTTTGGAAAAATAAACATACGCGATTTAGATCCGAAATAATAGTTTCACATTTCCAAAGTTCTACAATCGCGAAAGCCTAAGAACTCAATAAAGATACTAACTTAATTTCTATAAGAGCGCCTAATTACTATTTTGATTTTACATTAATTGCAGATATGCGTAATTTTTTTTTACAATACGAAATGACGAGACGAACATGTCATGCGCCTGGTGGTAAGCGACGCGCCTATCCATAACAGTTGTAGTGCCACTTAGAGCTTTAAATCGCAAAGATGACGCCACTGCCCCCGGCACCTTGATATACAAGTTGATAAAACCCATGTACCGGTAATTTCACCAGAACCCTTACCCTGTCAAACTGGAATGCAGTAATGTTCATATTACTGCTTGGCTTCCCTGGACGAACTCGTTCACAAAGAGCTCTACTTTGTGTCTAGTGCAATGGTTACTTACTTTCAATGAGATATAAATCAAATGCATGAAAGAAAGGTATGACACTGTTTCAGTTTAATTATCTATAGGCGCATTATACTTGAATATTAATGGAAATGTAGTTCTTTAACAGCTGTAAAGGATTGGCTGAAATATCTTTAAGAACATAAAGTAATTAAACACATTCATAACTTTGAGAACGTATAAATACTCGTATTAATCAGTTACAATAATATTATATCGACAACTTTCATTATTAAAGTTAATAAATATGAACTGTTACATTTTCATAGTTATTAGCTTTTGTTGGCTGTCTGTAGAACGTATTGTGAATTATGCAAGAGCTAATGGATTTCAATCAGCAGTATTAAGTGACGTATAGCACTTAGAGCTTACATTCAGTGCTGAGATCTATTCTCCACGAATTTATACTATGAGCCCTCGCAGTTAAATAATTTTCTATGAATATTTGAAAATTCTCCCCAGAAGCTGTATTAAAATAATTTATTATCTCAGTACAGAGTACTAAAAAAACCAACCTCAAAAGTACGTGGAATTACGTCTATTTGCTAAGTTTTATTGAAATATCCTTAAATTCGCCACTATACAGGACTTGACACTGGAGATAATAAAAATCGGTTCGCAATACACAAAGTATATGGAGAGAAAAACGCCTTGAATTAGAGAAATAGCAAAATCAACCATTAAAATAATTGCTCCTTAGTAAAATGTAGGCGCTATTTATAAAAATGAATCTTCATGCGTAAACAGCCACCCTTAGAGGTGGATGATTTTCTTCGAAATTAAATGGGATCACTATGGAAGTACTCCCTTTCCAACAAAAAAGAATCATGAAAATTGGTTCACAAATACCGGAGTTATCGCGTAACATACATACAAAAAAAACATATAGTCGAATTGACAACCTCCTTTCCTCCTATATATATTTCTTTTCCTCCTTTTTTGAAGTCGTTTAAAAAAAACCATTTGTTACGAAGTTTGACAAAAAATCAATAACATTGGTTTGTCAAGTCACATGTTGATGGGAAACGAGTTCTTGAGTGGTAACCACAACTTGGCAGCTGTAGTGCAAGATATTCTCCGGTCAGCAACAAGCTGAGGACCGCGCAAAATGGTAAACATTCGGGGACGCCTTTATCTAGCAGTGGACTACAATAGACGAAGATAATGAAAGTTATATGAATTTCTACAAGAACTTAGTAATCGAAAAACTACTTCTAGTAGCAGTAAAGCTCTTTGTGAAAGAGTTCGTCCAGGAAAGCAATGCCACCTTATCCATTTCTGACTGACGGCAGTAATGTAGCAGTAATAAGTAAGCTGTACTGCGTTCCAGATTTGAAGGATAAGATCACGGAAAGACGCTATTGTGAGGTCTCTAAAACTAATCGAAGACGTGCAAAGTTCTTAAATTAGACATAAACTCTGTATCACCTTAAACTAACTAAGAAACACCTATCCAAATCAATTTACGTCTTTCTATTATTCTTAACAGTGTAGTTTCTGGTTTCATCATACCTCAAGAGCAACTACCATCAGGTTGTTACCTGACGTGTGGAAGTCCTTAAATCGTCTTCGCACTCAGATAGGACGCTGCAGAGACACGATGTGTAAATAGGGTTTCAAGGATACTAGTCAAACCCAATGTGACTGCAGTGCCTCAACGCAGTCCATGCAGCACTTTCTGTTGTGCCCCTTGCGTCCTAATATCTGTACGAGGGAAGATCTCTACGCGGCCACGGACAGCGCAGGCAAAGTAGCAACGTACTATTCAGGGTCAATATAGTTCTAAAATAAAAGAAGTATCGACATGATAAGAAGAAGACGAAATAGGGTAGTTTTTTATTGCTCGTTCAGCGATTACGAGCCTTTAAACTGCATTCACACCTATTTAGACAAAACGTGCTAGGTTACCGGAATTATTTTTAATGCGCACGATTGTAGTATTTTTGCTTTTTCGAAGCGTTTGTTACGTAATTCCAACCTTCTGTGTTGCGAAATTGTTTGTTCTGCACATATAGGGTGAAAATGAATTGTGCTCTTTTAATTGGGTGGTCTATAAACTAAGAACTTTTAGAAATTTAATAAGCAACATCTCAATTCAACATAACTATAAAGTTATAATAAATTGAGGTCTGACAGTTGATATATTGAAATTGTTTTATCAGATCGCGAGGCCGCCTTTAGTATTCTTATTATTGCTATCTTAATCAGCCTTATTCGTAAGCGCGTAATGTTTTTATTTTGGTACATTTGCAAA